TGGCGAGGTCGTCGATGGGCCAGTGGTGATGCACGAGGACAACCACATCCATACACGGTTCAACCAACCTGTGGAAACTAACGATTTAAAATTGGCTGACTACTTGACTAGCCTATTGGTCACAAATCGATTAACGTACCCCATTCTTGTCGACATTCTAGTACTACGCTATGTTTGTTTTGTTTCGCTATGAAAGGTTGACAGATAAAATGAGGGGTTCGTAGATTTTCCTATGTTTCGAGGGGTGCATCGATTAGCTTGGGACCAAAGATAGTGCCAGAGCTGAGCCAAAAAGTTGAACACGTTTCTTCGAGATCTTCTAGTCTTAGGTTTACTCCTATTGTTGTTGAGAGAGTGAAACAAGAAACTAAATTCCATGAATTTAATCCGTCGATGTTGTAAATTATAAAATTCCTAAGAATGAAACAGTTTTTACTGGTAATGTCAGCAGATTAATCAATTAAGTTTAAGTTAATCTTACTTTTAGTGTTTCTAGTTTCTCTAACAACTGTAATATTCGAATATCCCGCAGCTAACGACCTGTGTTTGTGTATATAATATTCGTTTAGTATTTAAATAGCTATAGTTTAAAATTAAGGAATTTCTCACCTATGAGCTAACGACAATACAATGGCATTCGTCATTACGGGCTGTTCAAAGCCTGGTTCTCATTGAATAACCTCCTTTTCGTCTAGATGTAGTATTATACGATATTTTCACTCTTATATCATTATCTTGTAAATAACTCACCTAAATTTAGCTTAATCCGAACAATTCAGTAGATGATAGTTCAAATTTCCGTAAATTTAGGAATAACCAATTTAGTATTAAGTACTTAATTGTCGTTTAGCAAAAAAAACTGTAGATTAATTTGATTTAACGATGGCCGCTTTGTTGTTATTTTGCATCTCTTCGGGTGATGATTCATTCGTAGTGCTATTAATCCCTTGACCAGCGCTGGGTGTGGCGTACAGTAGCGGAGCGTTAAATGTGGGCACGGTCACGTTTGATTCTGACGGGGCGTAGTCAACACCTATGGTTCAACTTTGTGCGAGAACTGATGTCGACTGGCGTGATGGAAGTCAGGTACTGTCCAACGCAATCAATGGTCGCAGACATACTCACGAAGCCTTTGGCGAGAGTTAAGCTGGAGAAGTTCCGTACCATGATCGGTCTGAAGTTCTTCGACGTTGAGGAGGAGTGAAGTGGTGCATTTAGCAACGTGAAGAGGTGCAGTGTAGAAATAATGTAGGTCAATAATTTAGCCATGAGTTATTTGAATAAAATTAGTTCTTCTTTCGTCGTCGCTCTAACGGACTAAATCAACTCTGCACACTGTGCTGAAACACAGCATGGCACGAGGGGGACGACTCTATCTACGATGCAGAAAAGATTGTGTTTTGCTGTGGCTAGCTGCACGCACGCTGAGTAGATAGAAGGAAGATTTATGTCGATTTTGAAGATTTCCTGCAAAAAGATGAAGTGCGATGCAAGTAGATGAGAGAAATGACAGATGATTTTTCGAAGATTGATTCGCAAGTGTGAGATTTTTTGAGCATCTAGAATTGAGATTTAAATGTGTCGCCCCCCTCGGCATGGCACACTATCCGGCTCTTTAGGAAAAACGTTGACAAGTACACTGAACCAAAACATCCGCAATACTTCGAATGATTATTGCATTGCTCAAGCCCTTTAACAATACCCTAATAAACGGGTACCATACACTAACGATATCATAGATGGTGCGAGCATCCCACATAAAGTTGGGATGATATCCCGAATTGGTGGTTAGGCGCTTCTTATGGTTATTGTTTATGCGGGCATGCTTTCGAATTTTGGATAATTTTCTTATGGTTGAATTCGTTGTCAGATGATGAACATCCATATGACTGTCATCCAAATACAGGATGATTTTCGTTTGAAAATTAGCTATAAAACATACGGCACTCAGAGGACAAACATTTAAGAATAGTGTGACATGCAAGTGCTTTTAATTAGATTTATAATTTGATTATCTACAATTCCATACTGAAAAACCATAATAAGCCATTTCATTATGGATACAAAATAAAATTTCGTGGTGAAGAAAACCTCCTCCACCACGAATTAGCCAAACATTGGTTTTCATCATTTACCTTTGTTCGTAACAGCTCTGATAGCGATGCATATGCTTCCACCTCGTTTGTCAGCTCAGATCAGCAAATGACGTTCGATAGAATTATTTACATCATCGTTTTGAATTATTTGCGTTATGGGGCTGAACCAATACCATATGCATTTCCATTTAGTATGACAGTCATTCTACAGAGAGCATTACGCATTTCAACTGAAGGCCCTATCCCTTCTCATAACAAGTTTCATCCAGTATTCGAGAGGAAAATCATTTGATTTCAAAACAACCGTCATCCGGTTGCAGCTATCATTCGAAAAAGCGATTTCGGTCTTTTGTTTTGAATGGTCTGAGGTTTCATTCGATCAGAGGATGATGTTTGTGTACAGTGTAGGATACAATCAACATAATATAAAACGGCATCACTGTCGAGAGTTGACGTTTTGCCAATCGTTGCTAAGGTTGACTTCTTTGTTTACTCCATTGGGCTTCGCGGGTTCGGATTCCAAGGAAAAATGCTGTGAGTATTGCCTGCACCTGGCTGCACCATGAAACTAAGTCTATCTCATCCGATTCGTAGCGAATATCCCAGCGGCTCGGCTCGTGGTTTCGTCCAGGATAGCTTCACGCCAACAGAGTTCTTCCACACCATGGTCGGTCGAGAGGGTCGATACGACAGTCAAGATGGCCAAAATGGGTTCCCTCCAGCAACGGTTGGTCAAATGCCTGTAAGATATCGTCCAATACGATGGTGCTGTGCGGAATGCGATCGGCGAACTGAATGGACAAAAATCCTCTGAACGACGACAATATTGTGCCAGCTGCGGAGGATTTTTGTTTTACTTTACAAGGTTGTTATGCAGAACGAACGATAAATAAAAAAAACCACATCATAGGGTGTGTGTGAGTTTTGTATTTCAACCAGGTTTGAATCCCGGTTTTGCCAGGGGTTAGAGATGAACTAGCCTAAGGCTAAAAATCTCTTAAATAAAGAATTTAAAAAAAAAAAAAAAATTTGCCAGGGGTCTTCCAGGATGAAAATTTTATCGTTTTCTCCTATGTTTTTCCTTAGGCATCCTTGGTTTCAAGTGGTATGGACTTCGATGAGAAATCTACAGGATTTTAAAGGAACGTCCATACAAGTCCCAGTACTTATTGGGGAATGTCGATACGTATTAACCCCAAATTTTCCATCAGGTCTAGAAGATTGCCTTAGCGAAACAGTTTAGGATTTATAGGAACAGATCAATGCAATTACATTCTATTACATTCCCCATCATCAACGATCCAATCTGCACTCTTCTGTTCCACTAGTTCGTCTCAAAAGGATCCGATGCGTCTACGATTGGCCTACCAATCAATCAATTATAAGAGCTTGCTCAATTTCGAAAGTGCATGACGTATGACGACACTTAGGCTGTGAACCATTTGCCGAGTTAAATTTAACTCGTGGTTAAAAGTGACATTTCGAAAGTTATTTTCTATGTTCGAAAATCCCCGTGCTGTCGATCGACCGGTTTTCGAACCACGGTTGTCAAAATTTAACTTCTTGTCTGTCAGAAATAACCATGCTCGGATAGCAGGGTTAATCGATAACTTTTCATCTGTCAAATTTTAACCAAAAGTGGGGGAACATCCACCATCCGTTTCTTGTGGACGGGTCGTATTGCTTCCAGTGTCTCTTCCACTGCCCAATCCGCTCTCAATCTAATGAGAATGAAGCTTAATGTTTGCCATGAACCATGGTCATGAATTAGATAAATTGAAAATGTATACACAATCATAAAAGTCTAACTTCAGGGTTGCCAAACTCATGGGATATTGACACCTTGATTGATACACTTCGGCCTACGGAACGATCGGCACAACACTTGGCACAGCTTTCGGCACTGCCAAAACCCTTGGCACAGATTAAGGTGTGCAGAGTTGAATACCCCTTGGACTAGACGCTAATTTACTTTGCTCCATTCCTCCTAAGAGTTAGACCATGGAATCAACACTTGTTCAACTATTTTTAAGCTTCCAACCATGGATATTTTTTTTCCACTTGAGTGAATGAATTTATCACTAATTGATTCATTAAAAATCGGTTAAAATGCCCCTTCTTCCAAAAACAATGTTTTGCAATCGTTTTCACAACTTTCATAAAAACAGTTAACAACTAATACTTTGAGGTAAGAGTAATACTAATACTGTCTGATTCTGCCAAAGTGCCCGTAGTGGTCCATAAATGCCCTCATTGTGACTCCAATTTATATAAAATCATAAAATTAGCTTAACGGCGAAATTTTAGAGATCTATACAAAATTAATAAAATCTTTATAAATACGTTTATACAGAATCGGAACATTCAAACGAATTTACATATAAATCGATAGAATCATTAATGTGCTTATTTGTAGGGTCCTTTTTCATATTACACTTAATAATTTTAAGAACATAAAACTCAAGATTTAGGAGGTTTTAAGCCTAACTATAAATTATAGATCTGTAAATTTCAGACATTTGCTTCTCCGCAGCAAACAACAAGTTAGAGGTTTCAGATATGTGCATTCACAAAAACCTGAATATTTTGGCTTGTAATATTGCAAAGTTTAAAACAAAAAATGACGCAATAAAAAACCATCTTAAAATTTATTAGAAAAACAAACAATTATTTTCTAAAAACACTATTTGTAAAACCGGGAAATTTTTCAATTATTGACCAGGAAAGCAAAACCTGAAATTTTAAAATGAAATTCGCTTGCAACCCTGCATACGGCCAATGAGATCAACCCAAATTTGAGTTCAGTTAAAGTACAGGAACTCCGTGATAAGTAAATTTGCCTAATGTTTTCTCGGTTTTCCTGTGTAAACCCTAAAAGAATCTAACCTAACCTCTCTTTTTCAGCGTGGAAAAAAGCCGTTACTTCCGCCGCGACGGTTCCGACGTGCACACAGAAGCAAACATTTCCCTATCGCAGGCGGTGCTGGGCGGTTCGATACGTGTGCAGGGCGTGTACGAAGATCAAACCATCCAGGTGGTACCGGGCACGTCGTCGCACACCCGCGTCTGTCTCCGCGGCAAGGGTCTGAAACGGGTCAACAGCTACGGCACGGGTGATCACTACGTCCACATGAAGATTCAAATCCCGGCCAAGCTGAACAAAAAGCAGAAAGCATTGATACAGGTTGGACTCGAATTTGCAACCGGTTTGAAATTCATTCCTGAGGATTTCCTATTCACTTACAGGCCTACGCCGAGCTGGAAGAAGACACCCCCGGTCAAATCATGGGCGTAACACACAAAACTGACGGTAAGTCTTCATCAGGTTCTGGGTCATCTTCGTCGTCGTCGTCGTCGTCATCTTCTTCCACACCCAATTCCTCTTCCTCTGCTTCGTCGCCGTCGTCATCGTGGTCGTCCAATTCTTCATCCCGTTCCCAAGAGAGTACCGAGGAAACCATCTCGGACAAGTTCACCCAGCGTTCGAACGAAGATGACGATTACAAACCGCACGACAAAACCGGTTCGCAAGACTACAAGAAAGACCAACTGGGAGGATCGCGGTTCTACTTTGGACTTGGGATTACCTTGGTCTTTATGTGGTACATATACTACAGCTACCAGCAACTTCCGCACCAGCTGGAGATGGAACGGGATGCAGCACTGGAAAGGCAACGACGGGCCGGACAGACGCCGCAGGCCCAGTCGAATCCCTTCGATGAAGCCTAAAAAAACGGAGGCGTGGGTTTTGGTCGAGTGAAAAAGTGGATGCTTTTATTGTTTTATGAATGGATTGCGTTTGGTTAGCGATAGAAACGTTGATCTAACGACGATTGTTAAGTGGTTTTTCGAATGCAAGTGCTGACATGGAGAATTCAAAATTCGAACGTCTCTTAGAATGTAAATAATGATGAACAAATAGGTGCAACAACAATTGATGCAAAATAAAAAAAATTGGTACAATGCAACTTGCATTATAGGAACACACTTAACAATCGTTGTTTCATTTTGAGTCACCCATTTGAGAACTCCCTCTAATGCAGCGTTTCCCCCATTGCAGGCGGCAAAGTGTGCTACGCTGAACCGCAAGACTTGACGGACATCGTGCGGGAAGCCATCAAGGAGCGCAAAAATCTTCCACCCAAAAGTGAAGACGAAGTTAAGAAAGAGCGAAGTTCCAATTAGTCCCGATTGCTGGAAATCATTTCGTAGTTAACACTTGCTTCAAATTTGTAAAATAAAATCTCAATTTAGCCATTAAAGCTACACGATTGAGTAATCTTACCTAATATAGGAACTTTCGGAAAATAAGAATAGGAACTGAACATATGCTTCAGAGAGGCAAAAAAGATGTGCTGTATGTTAGGCAAAAAAAGCTACAAAACTTATTGAATTATCTGTTTTAATGATAATCTTACTTACTAATTTGTTTACTGCTATCAAAACAAAGAGAATACATTATAGAATATCATAACAGAGCTAATCGAACTCCCAGCATTCAACTATACCCGTACACAAAGATCACATCTTTTCGTAGGTTTCCTTGTGACCGCAGGTTTCGCACGTCCTTGTATAGCTATCCTCCTCTTCATTGTACACCTCGCTGTCATCCCAGCTGTGCTGATGTGCGTGCGTTGTCTTATCGTACAAACTGCTCCGAACATCCATCCGCAGCACTTTCAGGCGCTTGTTGTACTTTTTCACCTTCGTGATCTCCCGCTTTTCGTCCCTCAGCTCCTTCTCCTTGATTAAATTATCCTCCGATCCCCAAACCTCAAGCGCCCTTTGCTCCACCTGAATGTGCAAGTACAGCTTCATCTCTCCCCATCGCTCGTTGTGCGGATTCTTCCTACTGATGAACTTCAACATCGGTTGCCGTTTGTCCAGGTCGCAATCCTTCAGCAAATACTCCTGCTTGGCTTCCGTCCGGGTAATCAGCGAATGCTTTTCATCCGAATCTCGACAAGCATCGCAAACCTTATAGTCAAACGTGGCCAAGAGATAGGAATCCGCAAAACGATCCGCACAGTCCAGGCATTCGTAGAACTCGATCGGCACCGGGACGGAATCCTTTTCCACTTCCTTCTCGTCAACCGGCTGCTCTTCCTCCTTCGGATCTACGCAAGTTCGCTGTTCAATCAGGAAACCGCCTCCACTGTCGATAAACTTGCTCCCGGATACTTTAATTACGTTTCCCACGGCAATGGCCGTTTCCTGAGGTCGTTTCTTATCGGTGTTGTTGCTGCCGCCGCCATAAGGATGAGCGGTTAGGCGCGCTTGGCGAAGGTTCAGGGCATGCAACCGATTGGCCTCGATACGACGGCGATCCGCATCGGAGAGCTCTCTGCTACCGATACCCGATTGATCACTCATGTTTCAGTAGCAAACTGATAACAGATAAACGATGAATTTCTACAGATAATCATCAAAAAATTCACAAAATAACGGTTTACACTTGTGTTTACTCTTAGTACTCTTGATTTTTCCTGTCGGATATGCTCTGTTGCAAAAAAAAAGATGTAATCGAACCAGCCAAAGTCACTCTTCAGCATCAGAGGTAGCTCACTCTCAGAGAGGAGAGTTGCGATACCATTTTTAATAAACTCTGTGAGCGGAGGTTCACGCTAAGAACAGATGACTCAAATGTATGTTTGGTTTACCCGAGATTGGGCTAAACGGGCTAAGAGCAACCGTACTAGTCGTTGCCATTTGCGGCACTATTTTACCTACGCACAGCGTTTCCATTTTGGCTTAGAGCAACCGTAACGGTACGCTGCTAAACTCATTTTAGCAGCCCTCATCATAGCGCAGCTACCGTATCGGGGGTTGCCATACGAGTAACTAAAATAGCAGTCGGCTTCTCGGTGAGAAGTGCGTTACCAAATTTAGCAGCGCGGGAGAAAGGTTGCTATTCGTAGATATGTCAAAATGCTCACTACCGGTACGGACTACGGCGAGTAAATTGATAACCGCGATAGCAGCGACCGGTGTGGAGAAGAGTGACTAAACTAAAATGAGAGCGCTGCCCTAATAAAATTGTTATGGTTATTTTGCTTAACGACGTGTTTGGGGTATCATCCAAACCATTTGTGGAAAAGTTCGACAATTTGGGTTATCGTTAGTTTATGGTATTTATTTATTAGGGTGTGCGCTGTTAAAATAGTCACGCAAATGACAACGACCGTTACGGTTGCTCTTAATCACTCCTCTACACACCGGTCGTTGCTATCAGAGTCATTATGTATATGCCCAGCGAAGTCGAGAAAATGTCCAACGCAAAAGATTCCCTCGACCGGACCAGGAATCGAACCCGCTTCTCTTATAAAACATCGTCTCTGGTTTGAATGATACCCTGGACCCTGCACGTAAGGCAAAATGACTCTCAAAATAACTCAAATAACCAAATAACCATACAAATTTTATAAGGAGGACCCGGATTCCACTCTAACGTCATTTTTGGTTAGCTTGTTATACACTCAATGAATTCTTCGCCTTTATTCAGAGTTAGTTTTATTTGTGGTAGTGAATTTAATCAGATCAATGGATAAATATAGTCAAATCCAACCAACCACCGGCCACCAGTGGTTTAGTTGTGGTAACGGTGATAAAAATGTAAAACATCTGTCAAACGCGAGGGGGGCGACTCTATCTACGATGCAGAAAAGATTGTGTTTTGCTGTGGCTAGCTGCACGCACGCTGAGTAGATAGAAGGAAGATTTATGTCGATTTTGAAGATTTCCTGCAAAAAGATGAAGCACGATGCAAGTAGATGCGAGAAATGAAAGATGATTTTTCGAAGATTGGTTCACTAGTGTGAGATTTTTTGAGCATCTTAACTTGAGATTTAGATGTGTCGCCCCCCTCGGTCAAACGTGGGTCATATCAGAATTTTCACTTTTTAAATTGGATATTTGCATTGTTTTATACGTCTTTGGTTATCAAAAAGTTTGTACAATTGTATTAAAAGTAGCCTTCTTCAAAATGGCAAATTACTTCAATGATGTCACTGCTTGCAATCAGGAAAATAGTTTATTTTTATAAAACGTTAAGCTCCACCGGTTAACATTTTCATTGCTGCTGTAAGATCGTTGCATTATTCCGGGATGCAACGAGAACAAGTTTCAACTTTTTCGGGTTCCGAAGTCGGGTAGCAACAAATTCGCGCATTGGAGAAAGGTTTCCACTGTTTACAGGGACAGAGCGGATATGCTCCATCATTTGTTTGAAGCAGACTTTGTTGAATATAAGCTCCAAAGTTTGTTGTCGTGGGGTTATTTGAGATTAATTTCAAGTGGTCGCTGCCCGGGATGCGAACTTTGCAGCACAAACCCATTCTACTGGTGTAGCCCAGGCACACAATATGCTGAGGCTCTAAAACCGCTAGTCCTTCCCGTATAGGTCGCACGGAGTCCCAACATAATACAGTATATCCAGCAGACGTGGACGTCAATTTCGGGATGGGAATCTGCAGTCATACAAAACCTAATCTAAATAATATCGGAGCATAAAAAAAACGCATTTTCATTAACTTTCACAGTGCAATGAAAATTCACATAACATTGCATTATTCGACAAATTTCCCACATGTATCATTAATAAAAATGATCGTATCTCACTATTTTGAATTTTATTTTCAATAATTTATCATTCAAACTCTGGAATTTGAACCGGCTGTCATAAATTTATCACCATCGACTAGTACTATTTCCCACCACTAGTGACGCATAAATTTCCCTTGGATTTTACATTTACAAGAGCATTTGTAAACAAACTTTCTAAGGCCCTTTACACGCGAACCAAAGTACGCGCAAGCAAACCAACAACATCATCGGATAGGGGCAACTATCACCTTTCCGAAAGTGGTATTGGTTTGTGTGGGCGTAGTTTGGTTCGCGTGTTAAGGGCCTTAGAAAGTTTGTTTACAAATGCTTTCACTCAAAAAATTCCACACGTTGATCGAAGTGTTTAAACACTTGATTTTTTAAATCTACAATTACATTTAGTATTTCACCTTGGTTCAATGTGTTGTACACGTTAATTTATAATGTTTCAAATTTTGAAATGTTGAAAATCTTTCACTATCTATTCAAGTGTATTGCACATTGAATCACACTACTGTTCAAAACAGATGGATTTAAAGTGTTTTGCATTTCAATGCGATGTGAATTGCTTGCTCAGAAAGGTAAGCATCGAAAATAAGAGTTGTGACTTTATCCTATCAACCCGCCTCATATATGAGAACAACCGTGACACAGTGAGATCGAACGAAGACTCGAGCAGCAGCACACCCCAACAGTCCATGATTGAATCCCAAATCAGACCCATTAAGAAGATATGTGAAAGCTCTGGCCTCTGGCAGTTTTGTTTATATAAGTATTTGTCGATTCATTTTTAGAGTCGGTAAAGTAGAAGTCGATAAAGCAGAATATTGTAAATATTGAACTATTATGTGTTAAGCTATTTATATCACCAAATGAGGCACATAGAATCCAAGTGTGTCACAATTCAAATCCATAGTGTTCAGGCCTGATTCATAGCATAAGATTCACACATAAAATGGATGTGTTTCACAATAAGCGCAAAATTAAGTGTGAGACACATGATGATGACGTGTGGAATTTTTTGAGTGTTTGTGCCGTTATCAAATGTTATGCCTGAATTGATTTGTTTTTAATCTTTCTTTATAATATTATAATATTTTTGAGTGTAGACGGCACTCATTTTCGCCATTTCGTATAACTCATGCAACCCTGAAACAATTCGCGTCTATGTAGCTTCTGTATCTCTTTACTCCTATGGGGAAATCCCAAAAGCAAACGTCACTGGATGCGAGAAACATGGCCGCTTTTTTCTTATCCGGTCACTCCACCGCTAAATCCCGTTACCAAGTGTCAATCATTGCGTGAAAATGCCATGTCCGCCATGTTTCGTATATAGTCGCGAATTCAGCGGTTCAGCAGCACTCGAACTGTCATTCGATTCTCTCGCGTTTCTCGCGCTCTCTCGCGATAAAAAATCTCACCGCGAAGGAACAAAAGAAAAACAGTTTCGCTGGCTGGCTCGCCGTCTTCGTCTTCGCACTCCAGTCCGCAGCAGCTTCGTTCATCTCAGAGGAGCACTGCACGACAAAAACAGTTCGAGTGTAAAATCCGAACAGTACAGATCGTTCCCGGGGTAAAAACTCGTCCGCGCCGCGCGACATTCGCGTTCCAAACGGTTCAATGCGCTTCCGCTGAGCGCTCTGGTGATTGGTTTGTTGGTTGGTCCATCGGAATAATAATTATTTCTGGCTTACGTCCGGTCCTTGAGCAGACGCGTGAAATAGTTTTTGGTGTGAATAATTTCGCAGTGCCAGCTTACGGTTGTTTGCTTGCTCTGCCCTGTGGGGGAGGGTGGAAACGGGCGCAACCTACAAAGAAGAAGAATAACAACAACATCTTGGTTCGTTTCCCCTTGCATGCTCTCGGCTGGTTCTTATTGTTGTTGTTTATCTTCTCGATGATGGCTTCGTTGATGATGATGATGATTCGGGATTTAGTTCAGTCTCATTTTTTGTGCGGTGATGTGAAGTGAATTATTCGATGATGATGATGATGGTTTCGGTTTCGACATCAAAATTGCAAAAGTGTCAAAATTCGATGTGCTACGAAAATGGCTTGATTTTCTGTGGAAATTGAGAAAATCAAGCGAAACAAGCACGGAAGATTACGTAAATTACTTTTTTTTTGTCTTGGGTTAGCTTCGGAAGGTCCGGAAGGGAAGGGAAAAAATATAAAAACATAAACTTTCCCTTCGTCCTTCCTGTGTGTGTGCTTGTTGCGTCGTCGTGTCTCAGTCGGTGCTGAGATATTTGAGGTGTGTCTTTATTACTTCTTTTCAGTGTGAAAATACAGATTTCTAGTGTAAAAGTCTGCAAAACAACGCAGATCGCGGTTTCGGGGCAGCTGTGTTCTGCTTGAAACACTATTTGGGATTGTTTTCCTATAAGATATCCCCCCGCAACAGTGGACTGTCAGTAGGGGACGCCGAAGGCGGAGGCTCCACCCGCTAGAAGCAGGACTTACCCCGGCCTCGTAGGAGCTGGAATCAGAGCATCAACCATGCAACCAATAGCCAACATAATTGGCTCGAATGTCTACTACGATGGCAGCCGGCTCTTCACCTGGCTCGCAGATCTATGTGGATTATCGGTCGATTTGGTAAGTACCTTTTGTCCATCTTGAATGCCTTTGTTCTGCCGCATACAATGCGTGAGAAATTCAACCAAAAACCGACACAACATTAGTCTCAGCATTAAGCAACTTGTTACACCACCGGTCGAACGATGCCCAATGTGTGTGACTCGCTACTTATGGCTTCTATACCGCTTCTCGGATGCTGTTGAACCACATCATCCCCCGAGCCTAGGAATCATATATTTACTTTCGCTAAATTTCGTTTTGTTGCTTTTCCGGACGACCGGATCGATTTTTCGATCTTTGGAAGATTCCATCGTGGGTCTCTTTCTTTGCTCTCTTGTTGCATTATTAGCTTCTGAGTTGGTGCTTGTTGTTGTTGTTGTTATTATTGTAGCATACGACGACATCTTCCATCCATATACCGCTACACAACACACACCTGTTTCACTGGAACGAGTGCTCTGCTTTGAATTGCTGTGTATTCGCTTGGTGGATTTAACCTTTTCAAGACGTGAGGGAGGCACTGATGGCTGTTTGAATGTAGTTTAGGTTAAATTAAATTTTGCGCACCATCCAGCCTCATCGTAAACATGAGCATGGTTAATGAAGGAATCAAGAATAAGAATACAGTTTAAAAGATTCACATTATTAATTTTTTGCTTTCTTGACCTGCAATGACAAGTCAATTATTTAAAGGTGTTATGTAGCTGTTTACGAATTTAACATAATTTATTATTTAAAAATTAAATAATAAATTACTGTCTACAAATTAAACATAATTTACTATCTAAAAAAAATCCCAAGCGTTCTTCCACTCGAACAAGAACTTTGGGTCTAATATCTTTCTGTGTTTAAATTACATGAAAAAATAAACGTTTAACATTTTTTTTTTAAATTTGAGCTTGTTCTACGATTTTTGTCAATTTGTAAGTGTCCATCAGATAGACATAACGGGTGTGGCCAACGATGCTGCTAAATTCTTGATGAAAAATGGAGGAACACGATCCGGACCTGGGCCTTTCGATGCATTCACCGAGCAAAGGGGTTTGAAAATAGTGTCATGACTGAAGTTAAGCTTCTGCAGACGACTGTTGTAGTTCGGTAACTGGTCGATGTACTGCTGCTACGGAGGAGTTTGATCGAGTTCGAAAACGCTTCGGAAGAAATCAGCGAAGAGGTTTGTAGAAGTGGCATCGTTGAAGGAGCTTCGATTACAGTAGGTGACGTCTGCCGGAATACTAGCTGATCTTTTGCGAGCGTTTACGAAACACCAGTACGACGATGGGTTTTTTTAAGCCACTCTGGAGGTTATCGATATACTGACGAAAGCGAACTTCATGCAAACTGTTGTTCTCGGCTTCTGCTAGCTGCGCACCATACTTGTTTTTAACAGTCCTGGAGCGAAATTAACGTCTCTGGATTGTAGGCAAAAGTTATCGAAAACGATTCATGGAATTGTGTGGAACAAGTTTGGATTGCCATTAAGTTCGCTGACCGCACTTTGTTTTTGTGTGTAGTTTACTTTCCTCCGGATCGAACTCGCGACTCTACGCTAATTGAATCCCACAGTCAGTCTATCGACTGTCTGACGACTTCAATCTACCGGCAATTTCTTGGCGATCATCTTACGGTGGATTCCTTTTGGATCATTACAGTATCGCCACTCTGAAACAAATCAACCACGTGGTTAATGAGATCAATCGTAGCTTAGACCTTTGCTTCGTCACCGCTCAGGATACTGCTCCGCATTTGTCTATGGCTGTTTCTCCGTTGGTAAACACTGTTCCACACCATTCTCCTTTAGTTATTGCACTTGAAGGCTGTAGCGTTGTGGTTCTATCACACTTCTATCACGCACTTCACAAAACATAAACGCATTTTGTAATACGCCCCATTGCGAAGTCATTCCCGCATAATTCGCGCAGTTCGAAGTTTGACACCATCCCTGCACACGTTCGAATATACGCGTCACCGGAAAAAGGGGAAACGTCAACGGAGAAACAAAACTGTATTAACACCAACACCATCGCATCGCTACCGTCGGCCCGAGCTGGAGAGAAAGTACTGGACGATTCATTCGCTGTTGAACCGCCATTGGGGCATCGGGTGTGCGCGAGTGCCGCAGTAGTCGCCGCGGATTTAGATCGAGTTTGAGTACGGTCGATTTGGGGGAGTGATCGCTGTTCGCCGAGAAAATCATCGGATCGAACTCCGGTGTGGTGATTGCAGACGACGCGACTCCAATCTTGCAAGGAAAGGAAAGGACACCCGAGGGCACGTCGAGTAACAAACTCACATCGACGGCGAGATACCACGGGTAGCAACGCAGATCACTATTTCCACTGATATCGCACCCCGAATTAGTTCAGGCATCCTCTGGGGTGACCGCAGAAGACGCGTCACCAATCACGCGAAAATTCAGCACCGAGGACACGTTGAGTGACTTTCAACTCACGTCGACGGCGAGGTACCACGTGCAACACAGACCACTTCTTCTGCTGCTATCGCGCTCGGAACCGGCACAGGCACACTGTGGGGTGACGTAGAACGAGCTCCAATTCACAGGACCACAAGAATTTAAGAGGAAGGCGAAAGAACGGAAAGCGTCCCGAAGAAGGACCACATGCTGCCAGTGGCGGCAACCTCGATCGGCGTACCGGATTGAATTACCGGCGCCCACCAGTGTCGAACGGGCAAGGAGGGTCCGACTGCTGGTCTTGATCTGGTTCTTCGTGGGAAGCACGACGCTATTTGGCCGAACGGGAGAATTGCGTTCTGGTGCAGAGGATTCGATTGGGCGGCAGACGACGAGCACTAGGCACGGGGCCCATGCGAGCGAGCGCCACAATCGGCAACGCCGGTGACTGAAAACGCTTAAACAGGAGGTCCAGGTGTCTTACGAACGTAGTTCAGCGGTGCAGCGCTACACGAAGAAGTCAAGCTGGAGCGCAGAGTAGAGGATGTCCGCTTGGTCAACGATTCTGTGAGTACGTTCCGAATTGCGCAGAAGAGTGCTTGCGCTACGGCGTAGAAGATTGAGATGTCGAGCTCAGGCATAGTAGGGCGTTAGAGGAGTTAGGAGATCGCTAATCAGCATGTGAGGGTGGCATGAAAATAAAATGCGTTTAACTTGAATTTTTGTGGCTCTTTCGTTTATTTCGGTGAGGAAAACCCAATAAGGCAACCAAATTCCTGAGGTCATTCCACCCGCCCCCACCTAGAGGTCTCCTACGATTTCCGAAATGCTGACCACGACAGTATCGGAGAGTTTCTTTCGAATTTGGTCTGGAACATGATACTCGTCCCTGCCGATGTCAATGCAGCTGCCCAAACGCTCTCGCATATTTTGGCTTACGTCTCAATTACGTCTCGCTCAAGCGACACGTTCCGAAAAAAGTTCCTAAACAAGGTAATCATCATCCTTGGCAAACAAGTGAACTCCGTATGTTAAAGTCTTCCAAAAGAACCGCGCTAAGAAAATACACCAAGTACCACACCCTACAACTCAAGGACCATTATGCGAGGATCAATCATGCGTATCAACGAACCAGTCGCCAATGCACAGTGGTCCCGAGCGGTAAAATACATGGAAATTGGGTTTTCCACAAAATCTACTAGTTTTAGCGTTTTGATGTCTTGAAAAGAGTTGTTGGTAATGAAAAAAACGCATCTTTTCATTGGATCAGTCATTAGGGTGATTCAGTTTTAGGGTGACTTAAAAAATCTAACTCTTCAGGGAAATTTTTTTTGATTTTTTTTTTACTCCTTCAAAGTTGTAGAGGATGCAAAATCAAGCAATTTTGTCTAAGACGACAAATTTTTATCTCATCATCTACGCATTCTACGAACTGAAACAACTAGAAGGTTAGGGTGATTCATGAAAAAATAGTTTTTTTTTTTACCTTTTTTGCTTTGTATTTACAGAAAACTGTTTTTCAAAACACTTTTAGAGCTTTTAAAAAACACACATTTTGATTACCTAAACGTTAGGGCCACTGAATCAAAAGATATAGTCATTTTAAGGTAAGAAACAAGTATTTTTCAAACTAATATAACTTTAAAACGCGCAAGCCAATTTAAAATCTATTGAAAGTAATGGGAAGAAGAAATTTGGTTCTATATTTGAAAAAATGGCAGAGGTATCATTTTTTTAACTCGCGATATTTGATATACATAGGTGAAACGATCTTCAAACTTCCTTCCAAACTTTTTCGAATTATGTGAATGAGCAACGAAAGGGGTCTGGCCTTCCATCGACTATGGTACTGAACGGCGAAGAAGCTTCATCCCCTCAGGACATTTGCCGTCTGTTCTCAACCAAGTTTGCGAGTGTATTCTCGGATGTGAACCTACCCCGACGAGCACGTTTCTCTAGCAGCCAGTAATGTTCCAATGTCTGGTCAATCTTTGGCAGCTATCAACATCGACCTCGCTATGATAACTAGGGTGGTTTCGCAACTGAAGTCTTCATTTAAGCCTGGACCTGACGGAGTTCCTTCCGTCTTTCTCAAGCAACACATCGATAGACTGGTGGCTCCTCTCTGCCTTCTGTTCCAAATGTCCCTCTCCAGTGGGGTGTTTCCTTCCTGCTAGAAATCAACTGAGATGTTTCCAGTGCATAAGAAGGGATGCAAAAGAAACATCGACAACTATCGCGGCATCACATCGTTGTTTACCATATCTAAACTGTTCGAGTTGGTCGTTATGGAACCATTAGTCTCTCACTTCAAGCAGCACTTGAGCGAAGACCAGCATGGTTTCATGGCAGGGCGGTCGGCTACTTCCAACCTTCTGTGTCTCACCTCGTACATTACGGAGAGTATGCCATACCATATGCAAACAGATGTCATCTACACTGACCTATCAGCCGCCTTCGACAAGTTGAACCATCCTATAGCGATCGCCAAACTGGATAGGCTCGGTATAAACGGCAGTCTCCTACGATGGTTCGCATCCTATCTATCTGATCGTCAGTTGGAAGTTGCAATCGACGACTGCCGATCTCCTTCGTTCCCTGCCAC